TTATTTATTTATTTATTGTATTTATACCCCGCCTATCTAGTCATTTCGAGGTATATGTTGTTGCACATATTTATAGCTTTAATGTTGATCTGGAGTCAAAATGGGATAGCTTGCCAGAGGCATTACCTAAGAATTTGAGAAGATATGTTAAAGAAAGCTGGAAAATATTTTATGATTGGACTCAGAAACAAATATGAGTAAAGAATATAACATATGTTATGGATTTTAGTATTGTAGCACAGTTATGAAGTCAAGATTATACTAGATATTGTATTACTGTAAACACTTCCTTGTGTGAATGTTTTGTATGGTGTAATTTTCCTTTCCTTCCACCTCCCCTCTGTATTTGTATTCCTTTGATTGTTCTTTGTTTTATAATAAAAAATATATCGTGCTGAAAAAAATATTTCAGCCAATAATTCTCTAAAACAAAAATTGGCTTTCTTGAAGTCTAGAATGCGTGTGTGATTATGCTTGGCTTCCCCTTCCACTATGTAACAAATTCCAAGAGAGGGTGGTCACCCCCACCTATGGCTCCCACCACTTCAACCTTATTAATAGACCAGCCTGTGAAAGAGAGAGACCGAACAGACAGGCAAAGAGACGCAGAGATCCAGGGTGGGAAACGGGGGACTTCCGTGTCCGAACTAAGCCGTACCTCTTAGGAGGCAGTGGTCCACCTCGGGGGTCAACAGCTGGAGACATCCTGGCTACCTGTAGCCAACCTCCCCATACCTTTCTGTTTCAAGGAGCGGGCTCTGGACTGCCAAAACAAACACAGACACTAGTTTTAAGTTTAGAAGACATAGTCCCCCTTTCGTCTGTGCAATACATTGAATAAATAAACCAATAAACCAAAAGGTGGTCCAGGAAAGCTCACATTCAAATATAACAGCTAGTCTTTAAGGGGCCACATGGTCTTTGGACTGGTTTGATTTCTTTGGATTTGATGGGAACAAAACTGATTAGACTTTCTGGGGCCACCAGGTGACGGCCTCGGGTTTCTCCCCCAGCCCTCAGTGTTGCCATCAGGCAGCTCCCCACATGTGGGTCATTCGAGCGGGCAAGGGATTCTGGGAGCTGTTCCTCCCGGCAAAGGCTGCTCAGGATCAGACCAGCCTTTCCTTCCCACCCCAGCCAGCCAGCAGGACCACTACACCCTGGGCCTGGCCTGGCCCAGCAAGGGAGAGACGCAGAGACGCACTGACTGCTGTGTCCTCTCAACAAAGCTGGGACGGGGCAGGACTTTATTTGCGTAAAACAAACTATTATTGTTCTTCCTGGCTCTGAGAACAAGTGAGGAAGCTTCTTAAAGTTCCAGATGTGTAAAGCACCCCTGAGCTGTCAGTAGCCGTCTCGGCCCTCTGGGGAAAAGCACCGCCATTTCCCTCCCATTCTGCTGTGATTTGAGGGGTCTGCACCTCAATGCATGTCCTTCCCTTGGCCGGCAGAAAGAGGTCCCTTTCATATCCCGGACATATTGGTTGGTTGGTTGATTAATTGGTTGGTTGGTTGATTGATTGATTGATTGATTGATTGATTGATTGACAATGGCAGGCGCCTCATTCAGCCACAGGGAGCGCCAAAGTCCACAAACTCCCCGCATGGACCGGGCTGCTCCCGTCCAGGACACCACTTTCCTCCCGACGAAGGCGAGCAGTTTCCCCATCGGGGCTTTCCAGGATCACAAGGAAAACTGATCTCATTGCGCTCCACTTCCTTGTGCCTCAAACACGCTGCGTCTTCGAGAGGAGGAGGTGTGATTCTATTGCCAAGCAACCGGCTGCATTTGCCAGGCTTCCCTCCCCCCCATTGGAGGACTCTTATTCCATCCTTCTCCCACCCGGAACTGTGCAACCTACTCAAATTTGCTTGACAATAAAGTTTGTTGAAGAAAGAAGGAGTAATCCTGAAGTTTCACTGTTTCAGTGTATAAAATACCTGCCTGCTACCTCATGTGTCACTCTTGTAACCTACCTCATCTAGAACACAGACAGGTAAAATAATAAAAGCAAAAGCCAATGTGCTGCCAAATAAAAGCCAGGAGCAGGCATAACTAAATGACAAATGTGTGTGTGGGTGTGTGTCTG